TTGATGACCGGTCACTTCGAAAACAACGAGAAATTTGAATTCTTATGAAATATTGAACTAAAAATATATTTTTTTCCTATTAGATTACATTAAAGCTATAAATTTGTAAAATATTTATAAAATTATTTAGACTTGAATTTTGATTAACCATTAGGTGAAAGAAGAAAAGGTTTATGAAAAAATAGAATTTTGGCGTGAGATAGTTTTGGAATCTAGTATTCAAAGATATAGTGAACGTAAGTAAAAACAGAAATTCGAAAGAATCAAATTTACTACTGATTCTCAAGACAGAATCCGAATCGGAACCAATTGGTTGCCGATGCATGATACCAAAATCGACTCATTTAGCAAATGAACCAAAATCGAACTGGCTGGTTCTATCTAGTTCTTGTTTGGTTCCATCGGTTTCGGAAAAATATGTCCACCCCTAGAAATGGTCTATAAGTCTGAAACATTAACTTTAAATTTTATGACGCCATTAAGTGTCAATGTATCACCAAACGGACCGGTGTTATTTATTACACGAAGTACAAATATAATTTTTTGAAAGAAAAAAAAAATCTTAGTTTTTCATATCGAAGACCAAAAAAACTTATCAAAATTAAAGTTGCAATAAGTTTTCTCACATTAATTTGTTTATTCCAAAATTCAAGTTTTGGTGACAAGTTGGCACTTAACGACATCACGTAAGATTTAACGTTAAAATTTTTATTGAGTAATCATTATTGTAACAACTAGAAACTTGATTGACTATTATCGTAAGAAAATGATTTCAATGAGTAATGGCATAATTAACCCTAATCTTATTGATGAAATTAATCAAGTTCTACATAAATCAAAGTCTTAGCTCTCCATAATCCTTGTTATATTGTAGTTGTATCAAACTGAGTCTCTGAAGTTGAATCCTAGTAGATTTGTCCATTGTGTTCACGTATAATTCTATAAATACCCATTGAACACAAGTATAATTTAATTTGCTTAATTTTTAGCTTCAAGCCCAAAATACTCAAAATTATTCCGTTAAAAGCTCAAACAAGCATGAATTTCAAGATTTGTGTTGACAAACGAGTCACAATCTTATGAGGCATGTTAAATGATAAATCTCATCAATTTAAATAATAGAAATAACCAACATATTTTTCTTAAAGAGGTTGACTCTTTAATATGGAATCATTTACTTAACGATACACCATCTTACAAGGACATCTAAATGACAAAGTCCTACATTAGTTATAAATAATATAGGGAAAATTAGGATGTGTACCCTATTAAAATAAGTCTTTTGATTAATATCTTATAAACTAATTAAACATTTTAATCAA